GATCTGAAGATGATCTACTTACTGTGAATGTTTTTTGTATGACTGTGTAGAGCAGATGAATGAGTGAAACACTTCCCACATGCAGTGCAGTGATACGGTTTCTCTCCAGTGTGGATCCTCTCATGTTTTTTCAGATTTCCTGACTGACTGAATATCTTGTCACAGTGTGAACATTTATAAGGTTTTTCTCCAGAGTGGATGTTCATGTGATACTTAAGGTTTGCTGATTGTGAGAAACTCTCCCCACACTGACCACATGCGTAAGGTTTCTCTCCAGTGTGGATCCTCTCATGCAGTTTTAAACACTGCGCTGAAATAAAAGTCTTCTCACACTCAAAGCACATGTACTCTCTCACACCAGTATGTATTTTCTGATGTAGTTTCAAGTATTGTATTAATGAAAAACTCTTTCCACACAAATGACATGAATGTGGCTTCTCCTTTGCATGAAGTTTAAGGTGTGTTGTCAGGTTTGAAGACCACAAAAATGCTTTCCCGCACTGATCACACGTGTAGAGTTTCTCTTCAGTGTGAATGTTCATGTGTAACATAAGGGTTGATGATCGTGTAAAACTCTTTCCACACTGATCACAAGTGAACGGTTTCTCTCCAGTGTGAACGGCCATGTGTCGCTTGAGAAGACATCCGCGTGGGAAACTGTTTCCACACTGAGTGCAGGTGAAAGATTTCTTGGCTCTTCTTTTCTTTAAATCTTTCTGTTTGGGTTTTTCTCCACTTCTGATATGATTTTTCTCCTCAACTTCACTCAATTCCTCTATCTCCTCATTATCTTCAATCAACTCTGAAATAAAAGTAAAAACAGTAAATTTTCATTAACTTGTTAAAGAAAACAGAAAAGTGAAAGGACATAATAAATTGAAAGGATATAAAAAACGAACAGCAGAAAGTAGACAACTGAATTGCAAAATTTTGATGCAATTTCATAAATTATACCTCCCTGAAAATGTTCATGAATGAGGTACATTGATCTTCAAATGACTATTTAAAAAATCGTGAGGTTCCATTAATTGTTTAGTCAATATGAATAAGCGATAAGAGGGAATATTTATGGAAATTCAAGGTTTATGGGAGGGTGTGAATCAGTTTGGTGAACCACTACTTGTTGGATGCGTGCTGGTCAGATGAAGTCATAGGATGTGTCCCTTATTATCTGATGCTTCAGCAAAACTATTCAACAGCTCTAATGATTTGTCCTGTCACAACAAACACAATATAAAACTGCCTGAAGCTTTATAACTCTCAGAACTATTAATGAATTAATTAATAATGCAGACCAACCTGTTAGTTCTTCAGTATCTTCAGTGTGTTTGATTCTGCAGGTTTCAGCTCTTCCTGATGCTTTGGTGCTCATCTTCTCTTGTGAACTGATGGAGATATTCCAGCATTTATTGGTGAATTACTGAATGTGTGATTGTTGTGGGAGGAGCTTCACTGAACATGAATTTCTGTGTGGAAGAAGCAGATTTGCCTAAATAAACAATAAATCAAAAAGGCATTAAGTGTTGTCTCTTTATGAATCATTACATTACTATATTATATTACTATATTTGACTTAAAGGTGCACGAAGCAATTTTTGAAAAACACTTTTGACTACAGTGTCGGACCGAGTCCCAAAACACACTTGTGGCCAACCAGAAGTAAAGGGGAATGTCTTGTAAGGATAGCGAGAAGAGAGCGCTTAATTTAAGTGCACAGACGAATATTAGCAGATCAACTATAGATAGAGAGACCTGGAAGATAAAAAAGAGGAAAATGTTGGACAAACAAAACATTAAAAAGAAAGGTTATGATCAGGCAAGAGGTAGGACCCGTGTAAATATCGGAGCAGCTTACTCCGATACTCAAGGATTCGAATCGGATGCAGAGGTTGCGTTGTTTCTTCTTGATAGGTGAGTAACGTTGATTTTGCACTGTTTCTCACAACTTATCTGTGTTGGCTTTTGTTTGAATATGCATGTGTGTCATCTTCACTTGTTTCCGCAATCGTCGTTATGCCACATACGTGTGGGGCGGAGATATCAAAATAGGGGCGAGGTCCTGTTGGGCTATGGGCACGTTTGTTTTGGTGCTTTCAAAAATCAGCATCGTTTGGCAAAAATCACCAGTGTTGGGGAAAGTTACTTTTAAAAGTAATACATTACAATATTGCATTACTCCATTAAAAAAGTAACTTTACTTAGTTACTTTTTATGGAAAGTAATGCGTTACGCTACTTTTTAAATCTGGACAGGGCTTGCTTGTTTGTTTTTAAAATAAAAATTTATATTTTTGGCAAATATAAAAGCCGTTTCACACCAAAAGTGAAATGAATAAGCCTCAGGCTGAAGGGAAAGTAAATGTACGTCCGTACAGTAGAATGCAGAAGAAGACATTTCAACACACTTCAGCAATAAAACAAAGACACACAAATGTTCGTCTAGAGTAATTTGTGCTTATTAGTACGGTTGAACTGGATCATCGAAGCTCAGAAGCAAAGACATTGCTTAATAGAATGGGACTAAATACATAAAGAATATTTGTGTTGTTTACCATTTAATTATTGCAGGTTTGCGTCATATTCTGAGTTGCATTATTTTTATTCATTTTGAGGAAAACTGAATCTGTGTGTTTTTGTGAGGGAGTGAGATGAATTAATGCATATTCATATTTATTTTAGAACTATAGTAACATCTTCTGATTTCTCTCAACATGGGGACAGCAGAGCTGTCAATCAATAAATTGAAAAAAGAAAAGTAACTTGCGTTACTTATTTGAAAAAGTAACTCAGATATTCTCTTGTAAATTAAAAAGTAATGCGTTACTTTACTAGTAATCTGTAATCTGATTACGTTACTCGCGTTACTTGTAACGCGTTACCCCCAACACTGAAAATCACTTAGTGCACCTTTAAGCAAATAACAGCAACATCATGCTTAATGGACTGTCTGACAGTTTCACCAAGTGTGTTAAAAGATCAAAGCTGTCTGTTACGAATTAAACTAACCTTTACTCAAAGAGAAATAAATTGTCTGTAACAAGTAACAGGGATTCTCTTAAAAAGATCCCTGGAGTTCTTGCTCTCACTCCCAAGGTTTCACAACCACAAAACACTATGAAAGTGCAAGAAAAATAAGTTTGTTAAATAAGAATAAACAAAGGGCAGCTTTGTTTACTGTAATTTATTTTGGCGTTTACCCCTCCTGAAGTTTATGCTAACTACCGGTCATAAACTAACATAGAAATAAATTACAGAATCTTCCCTCCCTTCTAACATAAACCGAAAAAAACGAACAAAACCAACAGGCACCCACCTCCCTACCGTGCTCCACTTTAACAAGGATCAGGAAGTAAGGAGCCGAACCTAACAATCATTAAACACAACTCACTTTTCACTTAATTCAAGGAATAACAACAAATGTCTTGCTTAGCGATCCTTTTGCAAACACTCGTTGCACAGTAGCAAAGTAACGTTAACAACAGCGGAAGCCAGGAGAGCAAGGAGCCGAAGATTCAATCATCCTGGTTGCTTGAAGGGTTAGTTCACCCAAAAATTAAAATTAGTCCATAAATTACTTACCCTCAAGCCATCCTAGACTTTCATCTTTCAGACGAATCCTGCCGGAGTTATATTAAAAATGGTCTTTGATCTTTCAAGATGTTTCATGGCACTCAGCAGGTGTTGCATGCATCAGTCCAAAAGAAGTGGCCTTTCTAAGATTAAGACCTCAACAGTTTCTGATTCAGAACCAAAATCACTAAATACAGTCATTTCTGTTACCCATCTCATTCATCTCTACTTTATATAATTCATCTTATCATCTCTTTTGCTTTGGAGACGATCTCTTCATGGTTCTGTCCTGTTCTTCTTTCTTCTGCTTCTTAATGTCTTTGTCTTGTTTTCTTTGCAGACATTGTACAATTAAAGCACGCGTGTCAATTTCTTGTGATTGATTAGGAGAGTGCACCTCATTTATTGGATCTATTGCACTGGATAAAACAGTTATAAAATTTTATCCTAAATAAATTTTTTATTTGTTTTTTTCTTTATGTATTATTTTCTGCACTTATTTTTACAATTATTGTTATTCTTTTTTTTTACTTTTATTTACTTATTCTCTCATTTTTGTTATATCTATATAATTCATTTATTTACAGTGTCCTCCACTAATATTGGCACAATATGAGCAAAGGCGGCTGCGAAAATAAATCGGCATCGTTTATCTTTTTGATCTTTCATCCAAAAATTGTACCTTTGTAAACTGCACACTTGTAAATACCATATCTGGACATTAATTTAAACAATTATATGTTTTCCCCCTTTACTTCTACTTCTGTATAAAGTTAATTCTTTAATTTTCAGTTTTTCTTATATCAGTGTTATATTCAGTGTTAATTCTATGTATGTCTAATGTTCACGTGCAGCCTAACGCAGGCAACTCTTTTTTCCTTGGCCAAAACAAATGATGAGAGCTGAAGGATTTTCTGCAGCATTTCGAAACAGGGGAACAAATAACTTACAGAGAAGATTTACAAGCCATCTGATTTGTTATGTGATATTGTTTAGGCAGCAACCACACACATTTCCACTCAAATTTCGACAGCTATTGTTGTATTTATATTCCGCCTGAATACATAAGTACTCCAACACACATCTCCACAATCCCACAGATGTGTCCTCACCTTCAGATTGAGAGTGCTGTCGTCTGCTTAGAAATCCTGAGCCGTGTCCGTGTTAAACTCGGTCAGGTCCAGCTCTTGAAGCTCGAGTGAGGAAGTGTTCAAGTTCAGATACCAGCTCAGGAAGAAGTCACTTACTCTGAGACTTGTTTAGAGAGGATTAAACGCAGCACCATCTGACAGAGCTTCGCTTTAATAAACACATTCAGAGTAATCAATCAACATAACAGCCAGAGGTCTTCACCATGAGGCTCGGCTTCTTTTGTGTCTGCAGCAAGCTTTGGTTGCAAAGGCACAGGATACATGACGGTTAACAGCTATTTCTATAGAAGCGAGGCACATGTATAACAGCATCTTTATAACCGTTGCTAAACCGCAGTAAGAAACACCTGCTCCTCTCCTCGCCTCGACAGGATGTATGTTAGACTGCGCTGGGGCCCTAAAGCTGTTTATATATATATATGTATATAAGGGGATATAAACTCAGAAGATATATTGGCAGACAAAAGTTGAATAAGGCCACTAGAAATGGCATCAAATACTTCTGCAAACTCTTTAGCAGTTATATAGATCTTATAATAATTAAGGAATTCAGGTTTTAGTCAGTTATGTGATGCTATAAAAACGGGAGTGTGACGTCATGATCTTCTCTGAGTGAACTGAGGCGCTAAAAGACTTTATCTTCAGGAGGAGATCTGTGTTGTGTGTGTTTTATGTTAACACGAGCCTCTTGTACGGCAATCAGCAGACAACAACTGCAGCAGTCAGGCTAATTAAAAAAAGGGTCAGGGACGTGTCAAATCTGCGGGACACGGCTTCACTTCACTCACTACCACAAACACTGTAAAATGTAAAAAAAAATGTTTTACTGTTATCTATGTGAATATCTGTTAAAGTGTAATGTATTTCTGTGATGCACAGCTGTATTTTCAGCATCATTACTCCAGTCTTCAGGAAAGCTTCAGGAAAAGCTTTTTCCCCCCTGAGGCCATATCCAACCTGAACAATAAAAACATTCATAACTATACACTGTCCTTCATTACTGAGACATTTATACATACTGTAGAAAACTGAAAACTGTATAAATAACATATCTGGACATTCATTCAAACAATTACATGTTTTTTTTCTCTATATTTCTACTTCTGTATATAGTGCATTAATACATTTTCTGTTTTTTTTTTAACTTCCAACATGTGTGATTTAAAACACGCAACTGTAGCTTGAACTGTTATTTGCTGTTAATCTGACAGAAGGAGGTGTTTAGCTTCGTGACGCCACTGACTCCACACACACACACACACACACACACACACACATCACTTCCTGCTCTCATGACAGCAACAAGGAAATAATCATATTAACACGATGAAACCTGCAGGTATCACATTTCCTTATATACACTCTATATGCAATATGAAATCTAAACATCAGATAACACTAAAACATGAGTTTATTTTAATCATCAATGTCATTAATAAGTGTATGAGCTGCAGGAACATCAGTGAGTTTCACTTTCATTTCAGTCACAGAAGCGTACGAGAAAGAAATCTGTGAGTAAAAGACTGTGTTCAGTGTTGAGATGCATGAATATTATCTGATGTGAAGTGTGTTTAGTTTATGATCTTCTAGTAAACACGCTAGAAACATGATGCAGGACATCTGCACGAGCTTATCATGTTTGAAGCTCCAGATCATGCTGTTCAACACACTTCTCTTAAACTTCTCTCAGTTTAATCTGTGTTATATAATTCAGAGAGTGGCTTATTTCTGTCATATATGAGAGTGTTATCAGTGTGTGTTTGTTCAGTGGAATCAAACCTGTGAATCACAGCAGTTTTGCAGGAAGATCTTCATAATCTATAGATTCCCAGCTCAATCTGCTGCAGCTAAACAGAAAACTGATCAACAAACTACAGGCAGATCAGTGATGGAGCTTGACATAGTCTGGGTGAATGAACAGAGACTGTGTTACTGTCTGAAAAGCACTACGATCTCTTACAGGACGATGAAGAGAGACGTCAGGAGTCAGAGAAGATGATCAGCTGAAGACTGAAGAAAGAGCAGAGTATCAACATGTCAACCGCTGACACCAGAAGTGAGAATCACAGTTAAATCATAGATTAAAATGATTATTCAAGAAGATTATCAGTCCATTCTGTCAACAGAATTCATTTACATGCATCTGAGGATATTCATTTCTTTATTGCAAACTCAAAATGAAAATAATTTTGGTAATTTTCACTAAGTCATTTAACTTAAATAGCTGACTATACATACACAAACTGAGACTGTACAAAAACTTTACATAAATACTGTAAATGAAATTGTGCAGAATAGATATTTTGGGGGAAGCAGCACATAGTGCAAGATGATTTGTACGTAGTGCAATGCACAAGTAAACATATGATCAAATGAAGTCTTTGTGTGTGTGGGAGTGTTTGTAAAAAGTGTCTAGTGTACATTCAGAGAAAAGAGTGTGACATTTCCTCATGTCGGCAACACAAACAAACTCCAAAGTTATGTTATTCTCTGAAGGGATTTACCAGCATCTCAGACTTGCACTTGTTTCAATGATTTGTTCAGAGGTGCTGATTTCTGCTGGTATATGTGACGATGATGAGAGTCAGATATAATAAGACTTCTGTTTCATGCAGTGATTGTCGTCCACAATCCTCCTCTCAGGAGAAGATGGAGCAAACAAGAACCTCCTATGAGTGAGTCTGTACTTACATAAATACTTGAAATTATGTGTGGGAAATATAGGCAATTTATCCCTATCAATACAGAAATTATTAATTCAACCTCTTACTGATGGACACTGGTCATTTTGATCTGTGATGCTGGATTAAGATCAGGATCATATTACATATCACACGTGTTACTGTATGATGTGGGGATTTTGAACAGTGAAAGTTTGGCTCTTTGCAGTGAGGATTGTTGTTCTGGGTTCGAGCGTGTCAGAAAACTGTCTGGTGGGAAACTTCATCTTAGGACGAGCAGCGTTTGACAGTGAAGCTCCTCCAGATGTTGTAGAGAGAGTCGGAGGAAGACTGAAGGACAGACACTTGATGCTCATCAACAGTCCTCAGCTGCTCCAGAGGAACATCTCAGATCATCAGATCACACAGACAGTGAGAGAGTGTGTGCATCTGTCTGCTCCAGGACCTCATGTGATCGTGCTGCTCCTCAATCATGAGCTGTGTTCACCAGAAGATCAGGAGTGTGTGGAGAAGGTGCTGCGCTCTTTCTCTGAGCAGGTATATCAACACACCATGGTGCTCAGCACACAAGAGCCCACAGAAACCAGTGACATCCTACAGAACATAATTCAGAAATGTGCAAACAGACACTTCAGTCTTCAGAGGAGCAGCTCTCCTGAGGATCTGCTGCAGACGCTTGAACACATTGAGAAGATGAATGACGGACGTTATCTGCACTGTGCTGAAGCTGCACAGTGTTTCACAATGGAGCAACAGAACACAGAGAGACGTGAGTCTGATGATGCTTGAAGTTCCTAGTGATAAATGAACATGTTTTAATCTTCTTCTTCTGTCAGTTTCAGAAGGTGTGAAGCTGAATCTGGTTGTGTGCGGGAGCGACAGCACATTAAAATCCTCTGTATCAGATCTGATCCTGCAGCAGACAGACAGAATATCAGATGTGGAGCTTCATAGACATCTGATCAGTGCAATAGAGCTTCCTGCTCTGATCCGGCTCTCAGAGGAGGAAGAGATGTGTCAGACTCTCCGCTGTGTGTCTCTCTGTCATCCTGGAGTTCATGGAGCAGCTCTCCTGAGGATCTGCTGCAGACGCTTGAACACATTGAGAAGATGAATGACGGACGTTATCTGCACTGTGCTGAAGCTGCACAGTGTTTTACAATGAAGCAACAGAACACAGAGAGACGTGAGTGTGATGATGCTTGAAGTTCCTAGTGATAAATGAACATGTTTTAATCTTCTTCTTCTGTCAGTTTCAGAAGGTGTGAAGCTGAATCTGGTTGTGTGCGGGAGCGACAGCACATTAAAATCCTCTGTATCAGATCTGATCCTGCAGCAGACAGACAGAATATCAGATGTGGAGCTTCATAGACATCTGATCAGTGCAATAGAGCTTCCTGCTCTGATCCGGCTCTCAGAGGAGGAAGAGATGTGTCAGACTCTCCGCTGTGTGTCTCTCTGTCATCCTGGAGTTCATGTGTTCCTCATCATTATTCCTGACGCTCCTCTCAATAATGAAGACAAAGCAGAAATGGAGGAGCTCGAGAGGATCTTCAGCTCAAGAATCAACAAACACATCATGATCCTCATAATGCAGAGCTCAGAGCATCAGACAGCAGAACTCAATGAAGAAACACAGTCTGTCATTGAGAGGTTTGGAGGACGACATCATTTCTTTGGTCCCAAAACACAAGTGTCCTCGTTGATGGAGAACATCGAGCAGATGCTGGCAGAAAACAGAGGAGAGCATTTCTCCACAGAGATGTTTCTGGAGGCACAGATGAAGAAACTGATGAAATATGAAGAGATGAAGAAGAAAACTGACTCACTAGAGATGCATTTACCATCACAAGGTAAAAAAAAAGTTTGATATTAAACTACACAGCATGTTTTAAAATAGATTTTTTTTTTACTACAGGAGTGTTTCATTCTATATTAGATTTTTATACATTTGTTAAAAAGTTAAAATTCAAAATTCAATTTAAAAATGTGAGTCAGAAATTCTGATTGTTGAAAAATAAGGTCAAAGCTTCATTGTTCCACAGGAAATGAAGATTATTACAGTAGTCAAACTGATAACTAAAAAAATCCGATCTCTGTAATGTTTTCTGATACATATTAATCATGCAGCCCTTAGTGAAACATATTAGTTGTTCTGCATATTTTCTCTAAAAAACATTTGCAGATAATGTAAATTTGACAGAGGGCAACTGCTTCATGGAAATTAGAAAAGCACACTAATGTCTCTGAACTGTGTACGTTGTAGAGTGACGTGTACATCTTCACAATGCATTTCCAGACCACACAAAACTATATGAATACTAAACAAGCAGACAGCAGACCTATGTCACAGAATGTAATTTTGGTGAAAACAAACTTTAGGCTGTCAAACTGATGCAGTTCCTCTCTTACAGGTTCATCAGAGAGTGAAGATGATCTGAGGATTGTTCTGCTGGGAAAAACTGGAGTGGGGAAAAGTGCAACTGGAAACACAATCTTAGGAAGAGAAGCGTTTACAGCAGAGACATCTCATGAGTCTGTGACTAAAGAGAGTCAGAGAGAATCATCTGAAATCAACGGGCGACGTGTTTCTGTGATCGACACTCCAGGACTGTTTGATACTGAACTCAGTAACGAGGAGATCCAGAGAGAAATCAGACACTGCATCTCCATGATCCTGCCTGGACCACATGTGTTCATCATTGTGCTCAATTTAGGACAACGATTCACTCAAGAAGAGGCAACAGCTGTGAAGATCATCCAAGAGACGTTTGGTGAGAAATCTTTAATGTTCACCGTGGTGCTCTTCGCCAGAGGAGACGATCTGAAGGACAAAACCATTGAACAGTTTCTGGGAAAACCAGGATCTCCTCTGATGAAGCTGATTGAAGCGTGTGGAAATAGATTCCATGTGTTCAATAATAATCAGACTGCAGACCGAACACAGGTGACTGATCTACTGCAGAAGATAGATGACATGGTGAAAGAAAATGGAGGGAGTTTCTACTCATGTAAGATGTTCAGAGAGATGGAGAGAGAAAAACAAGAACAACAGATGAAGATCCTGATGGACAGAGTGAGAGAAAGAGAGGAAGAGATGAAGAAACTAGAAGAAGAGAAAGAGAGAATGAAGATGATGATGGAGGAAGAACAACAGAATCAGGACAAAGTGAGGAAGAGAAGAGAAGAGGAACTGAAAAGAGAAATAAGAGAACAAGAGAAACATCAGAGAGAGACACGAGACGAGATGAGACGAGAACGAGAGACATTTAGACAAGAGACAGAGGAAATGAAGAAAGAAAAAGAGAAACTGCAGATCAAATATGAGACAGAAATAGACAAACTGATGAACAGAATTGAGAATGAGAGAAAGAAAAGAGAAGAAGAATACATAGAAAGAGAAGAACGATATAAAACACTGACAAAAGACAAAGGGGAGAAAGAGAGAGAAATCTGTAAGATGAAGAGAGAACGAGAGGAACTGGAAAAACAGGATTTAGAGGAAAAGACAAGCAGAGAAGAAGAGGACAAGAAAAAAATAGAGAAAGACAAACAGATTCAGAGACTGAAGAGTGAAATGGAGGGAATAATCAGAGAGAAAGAGAGAATAGTAAGAGAGAGACGAGAACAACTGGAGGATTCAGAGAATAGACTGAAAGAAGAAATAAAGATGAGAGAAGATCAACAGAAGACTCTTGAAGAGAAACTGAGACTCCTTGAAAAACAGCATGAAGATGAACTGAAGAGAAGACGAGTGGAGTGGAGAGAGGAATATGAGAAAGAGAAAGAGGAGATGAAGAAGATGAAGAAGATCAGCTCTGAAACTGATCCTTCACTACTGGTGAGTTTTTTATCTTTCATGTTTATTCTGTTAAACAGACAAATACAATTACTTTTACTGAATGATGTTGGTTTCAACTCTAAAAGATCACAGCTTACAGAAAACTGGAGACTGAGTGCTCAAGACTATTGGTCTGCTATGTTTGTTCTGTTAGTCACACTTTTAGTAGTAATTATAACCCACCAAAACTCAGACAACTAACATTTCAAATGTTAACTCTTAAATGCATGAATGTTTCGCCAATCATTCTTACATCGTGAGAATGTAAAATCCCCTTTGTGAGAAGGGGAAGTCGTGTCCTAATGGTTAGAGAGTCGGACTCGAAATCCAAGGTTGCGTCTCGAACTGGCAGGGATTGTAGGTGGGGGGAGTGAATGTACAGCGCTCTCTTCCACCTCAATACCACGACTGAGGTGCCCTTGAGCAAGGCACCGAACCCCCAACTGCAGCCGCAGCAAAAAATGGCTGCCCACTGCTCCGGTGTGTGTGTGTTCACTGCTGTGTGTGTGCACTTTGGATGGGATAAATGCTTTCACTTTCATATCTGGGTCTTTAGCGACCCGGACCTAAATATCTCTAACTGCTGCAATAGTAAAAAACTCTCTTGATATTTTAAGAACAATTACTGAAGATTAAATAAAGCATATTTCGAGCATAGTTCAATTTGAGCAGATTATTTTACTAGGGATTCACCGATACTGATACTGGTATCGGTATCGGGCCCGATACTGAGCTCTTGTACTCGTACTCGTTAAAATGCCCCGATACCAAACACTGATACCACACAGCATGTGTTATGCGCCATATTCAAACAAAGAAACACCGACAACAGAACAACAGACAGCAGAAAGGAGTCAAGGATGTCTACTACGAAGTATATGTATGCAATGAATATAATGTTAAACATTCAGTATTAACGCCTGTATAGCTGATGTGCGCGAGCTGATAAACAAAGAACACTGAGTGGATTGAGCACGCGGCGGCGCAGATGCGCGAGCTTGTCGAGTGAATATATCTTTCTCACAGACATCACTGGAAAGTTTGTAGTTCAGTCGGATATGTCAAAAACAAGTAAGTAAAACAATGCACAAGTTACTTAACGGTAGGGAGAGAGAGAGAGAGAGAGAGAGCGCGCAATTCTGTTGTGTGATCTTTGATATTCACTCACATAGCACACGGATCATTTGGATTAAAACTAAATCGTACAAATAAAACCATTCATAGGGGCATTCACTATAAACATAATCTATTTTCAACCTTAGGCATACACGGCGTTCTGGCGAAAGTGAATCTAGCAGAAATACATGCACGCGTTGCATGTGTTTTGCTTGCTTGAGTGTTTCTGCGTTATATGAGAGGCTTTGGAATATAAATCGCATCACGTTTCAGATGAAAAAATGCGACTTCTATTTCTGAAAATATCAGAGTTAGGAGATTTATAGCGAGTGGTTCCCTGCATTATTACAGCAAAGCGCGTGAGTACAGTACTGAGCCGCTGCAATGGAGCAGCTCTAATGCTATTAAATTAAAGATGATGTACCACAGAGCAAACAAATGAACAGTGAAAGTAACAAAAGCGTGTAAAATACATTTTAATGGGCATAATTAAGTGTGAAAATAACCAAAGGATATACAGTGAAACTAAAACTGATTCAGAGACCAGATATAATTTTTGATATTTTTTTACTAGTGAGTGCAGGACACTATAGTTCATTTATGTAAGTGAGGATAGCAAAATAAAGTAAACTGTGACCAATCATACCCAAAAATTCTTCATACATGTCTGAATTATTTTGGTTGATTGTAATCTATTACATGCCTTTCTATCAAAGTTATCTAACATTATCAAGCTGAATTTGTTCTGACACAGTGTAACTCTGAGTTCTTGTCATATTTTATTACCATTTTCTAAACTATAGCGAATAAACTGTGATAATGTGAGAAATGTTGAAGGTGTCTGAATAAATTTTGGTTTGACTGCATCTATTTGATAAATGAAGTTAACCAACTAACATTATACATACTCTTTTGGTTTCTGTACCCAATATTTAAAAAATGTACAAATGCAATAAAAATATCGGTATCGGCAAGTACCAAAAATAAAAGTATCGTATCGGGCGAGTACTGAAAAAAGTGGTATCGGTGCATCCCTAGATTTTACCATCGCTGTCATCGTCAGAGTGCACTTCCACAGTACATTGAGCATCTGCCTCACATTCACAATCTCAACCATATTCTCAAAATTATCGTTTTCAATGACTTCATATTCGATATTTTGATCACTGGCAGCTTATTCACCACATCCAGCATCAAATGACAGGGACATTTATATTTCATTGCATATAGTAATTGCTCTGCGGTAAAGCCATTCAAACCAGTTCAATTTTTTCTGATGATATTCAATTCAATTCAATTCAAGTTTATTTGTATAGCGCTTTTCACGATACAAATCGTTGCAAAACAACTTTACAGCAAATTAAGTTTCTACAATATTTAGTGGTAGCTTATCAGTGGTGACTGTCAGTCAATGTCCATATGGCAGAAATGTACGGAAAAATCAATAAAAGACGTAATCAAACAGACGATGAACACTATTAACGGCAATTATTATCAAACTTATAGCAAAATTCGAGTTTGGGAGCCAAATGCGAAAAAGCTCTACCTCCTTTAGTGGACTTTGCTATCCTAGGTACTACCAAAAGTCCAGAGTTTTGCGACCTTAGGGAGCGTGATGGATTGTAGCGTGGTAGAAGACTAGTTAGGTACGCAGGAGCTAACCCATTAAGGGCCTTATAGGCAAGTAATAATATTTTGTAACTGATATTCGTTTGTGTAATACAGTTCAAGTGGGAGGAAGGAAGAAGACAGGGTCGGCGGACTGGGACGCCAGTGTTTATTCAAGTCTCTCAGTAAATACAACAGAACAAGGCGCTCACTGCGCATTCAAACTCTCCGTCAATAGCTCAGAATATAGCTCTATATATGCTTTGCTCCAGTAGGCCGGTTTCCCGGGTGGCTCGTGTTCCCAGTCAGTCTCTCTCTGCCTTCCATGCTCCAGGTGGTCCCTTTTATCTGGTCTCTCCAGACCAAAAACTGAAACGAGACACAGTCAAGTCAAGTCAAGTCAAGTCACCTTTATTTATATAGCGCTTTTAACAATACAGATTGTATCAAAGCAACTGAACAACATTAATTAGGAAAATAGTGTCAATAATGCAAAATGACAATAGTAAACACGAATTTAAAAGGAGAAAATTATTGGTCAATCCAATCCACACCAAAAACTGAAACGAGACACAGGTGATTATCATTTGCGCTTGACGTACTTATGCACCGTTCGTCTCCTGCCTCTCTCTCCCGGTGCAGACCTCTCTGAACCATGCCCCCCTCGCCACAGTTTGTTTTATGCCTGCTGTAATTATCAGTGAAACGTCACATCATCATCGTGTATCAAACAGTGCCACCTTGAGGAAAAAAGATGCATTGCACATATTGAGTCATCAGATATGTAAATATAGTTGCGCTGAAAAAAATACTTACACATTTACATACCTCGGGTCTCCAGCGACCCTATACACTTTTTACTAAAAAATTATCAGAAAACAGAAAAATCAACCTTTACTTGACCCTCTAACTCTAGCACTTTCTATTCTATTTTAATTCTACTTTATCTATAATTTATCTTCTTTGTGTGTATGTATGTGTGTGTGTATGTATGTATATGTGTATGTATATATGTATGTATATGTATATATATGTGTATGTATGTGTATGTGTATGTATATGTGTATATATATATATTTATATGTATGTGTGTGTGTGTATGTATGTATATGTGTATGTACATATATATGTATGTATGTATGTATATGTGTGTGTGTGTGTGTGTGTATGTATGTGTATATATATCTATATATATATATATATATATATATACACACACACCTTGCTACGTGTACTGAGTTAGGCTAACCGAGACTTGTCATTTGCACATATATTGTTGCTCTTTTGTTAGTTTTGACTGCTTTTATTGTCCTCATTTGTAAGTCGCTTTGGATAAAAGCGTCTGCTAAATGACTAAATAAATAAATAAAAATAAATAAAACAGGCATTCTTTTATATTTTACAATTTTTTTTCTTCTTATATTGTTTATAATTAATAGATTGAGGAATACTAAGAAAGTTGATGTTTAACTTTAAAAACTGAAGGAGGGAGAGGGTAGAGAATGATGTCCCGGGTCGCTAAAGACCCGATGTATGCATTTAAAGGTTAACAAAAATATTCTCTTAAGTTTTTACTTACTGAAAGATATGTGTTTCAAAGGTCACAGTCTACAGGAAACTAGAGACTGAATACAGCGAGTGGTCCTGGAGTCTTCGCAGTGCCATGATGGAAACTGAGAACAAACTATACAACAAAATAGAAAATGAAGTGATTCATGAGGTTGATGAAACTGATCTTCACAGAGAACTAAAGAAGACAAGTGAAGAAGTGGAAAAATCAATGTCTGAATTATTTGAGAAAGACAGAGATAAAGATATACTGATTCAATGGAAAACATCATTTGAAATCAAAATCAAAGAGCTTCAGGAAAACATTGTGAGAGAAACAAAGAGGAGATTAAATGAGGTTCTTCAGCAGCGAGACATGAAGAAAAAGATTAATGCTCAGAGGACACGTCATGAAAACACTCTCTGTGAAAAGAGCAAAGAACTCACCTTTAAACTCAGAGACAAAGCAAATGATGAAGGAACACTGAAGAAAGAGTTTGATTTGTTTTGGGAACAAAATGTGAATATGATTATTAGAGACACTCCTCCAATCAGAGACATTGACGTAATAAGAGATGTGAAATTGATCCTCAGTGACGTCTATGAAAGTCTTCCTGTAGATCACTGGAGGGAGAGCAGGGATATTTTCACTGTGCAGAGTTATTCAGGTTATGTGAGGGTTAAGAGATCCAGTGGAATTACAAAACCTGGTAATCATATGATTAGAATAATTAATGAGATGTTGCGTTTCTTTCTATCTAGAGAGGATGATGCTCTAAATGACCAGGCAAAATGTGACTTACAATCTTTCCTGGAAACCTCATGCGCTTTTAAATCTGTTTAAAAACTAAACCCTATCCCTTTTAGTTTGATCGTTCTGTAATACAGATAAATTCAATCTTACAAGTTAGAGAGCATATTAGACCCTTGACTACTTAAAAGTGTTAAGTGTTCAACATTACAAGCTTGCTGATTGGATTAACGATTAAATGTACACATACATAACTATATATTTGATGTTGAGCAAGTTACTCCAAAGAAAGTACTTATGATTACAAGTTATTTTGTACTTCAGTGTAATGAGATTAATGTACTAATTAATCTAAACATATTACATTACTTACTTTTTCAAATCATAATGGATACATTTTTCTTAGACTGACAAGATCACCCATTTTAATTTTAAACGTTTATTAAACTCACTATTGTTTTACACAGAAATGTTGGTAATGCTTTAGATTACTGCATGCAATGTACCACGTAATTAAACAGAATTTACAGCGTGCCTATAGAGTACCTCCACAGTACCTATGAGGGAACAATATGCAATGTTTGGGGAATAAGGGGGTAATAACCTGCAAAATTATAAAGTATTTATACTGTAAGTATTTTATAACTAAAGGGCACCTATTCTGAAGTATGTATGACACACAAAGCGCAATTTTCTGCGTAAGCATAACTTACAGCTGTACGTACGTGTAGGTAACTCTTGCTGGAGCTGTTGTAGGTGGAGCTGCTGTCGGTGGAGCTGCTGCTGGTGCAGCTCTTAGTGGAGCTGTTGGTGGAGCAGCTGTTTGTGGAGCGGTTGCTGGTGGAGCTGTTGGTGGAGCTGCTGTTGGTGGAGCTATTAGAGGAACTGTTGGTGGAGCTGTTCTTGCTGGAGCAGCTGTTGGAGGAGCTGTTGTTAAGGAAGCATTTCTTGGTAGACCTGTTGGTGGTAATGCTACTTGTGAAGTTCTTAAAACTGTTGTTGCTTTAAGTGTTATTAATTAGCTTTACAATTACAATGATCATAACAATAATAACACTCATTTCAACTGAGTAAACAGATTGCATCAAACCAATTAATTTGAGTATATTTGTAAATATACAATTAAACTATATTATGCTAAAACTGATAGAACTGCTTATAGAACTGATAGAGCTGTTGCAGGATCATGTCATTAACTGATTTAATTAATCATTTTAAATTAATACAAATATTATACAAAATCTGAATTGTCTGAAAGATTATGGGATATGAGAGTATGATTTGTAAAATGATACGGAGTGAAGTCATAGCATTTTATTCATTCAAATGCTTCCAGAGATGAACATGCATCTATATTTTTAGTTTAGTCAAAGGACTCTCCATTCAGTGTATCCAAGGTCACATGGCATAAAATTATTTAATTTCAGATGAAGTCTGATTTATTTCCTTATTCTATTTTTATTATTATTATTTTTTTAAATCATCATTATATCTTCTGCCTACTGATTTTCCGCTGGCTGTTAGAATAGATAACTTTGCCAGCGCAGTTGACTAATTTTGAATATCGGGGAGAAATGGAAAAGAAACCTGTTTGTGGACTGTAATAGGCCTATTTGACTTGAAACAATCATATTAATTTATTTTTTTTCTTTTCTGTCAGTTGGTGTTTCTTGGACTTTTGGGAAAAACATTCTGTGTTTAAAGGTGATATTTATTGGTGAATTGTTCCATTCCATAATTGTGTCTGTATTGTAACATCTAAATCTTCCCAATACATATGAATGTGAGATAACTTCTCAAGGTTATGCTTTGCCCTTTCTTCCTCAATACTGCAGAAGTAATTGTCCAGGGATTCATTATCATTTTCTGGCTGAAAACTTTTTCTGGTAACTTTTTCCTTTTTTTCCCCTCCCCAAATCCCTGCAATAACTAACTAGCTAGCTAGCTAAATAAATAAATAACTAAATGCATACATACGTACATACAAAAATTAAAAAATAATATAAAGTTAATTAACAAATAAACATTATTGAAGAGAAGTAAGCAGTCACAATAAGAGCAAATAAAGAAATTAAAAGAGCACAAATAAATGATATAAATGAAATAAACAGTGCTTTAAGTTGATCAGGTCGGTCTAACAGTATACTGCTATCAAATCCTTATAATCTAGCAGTGGTGTGAAGTAACGAATTACAAATACTCACGTTACAGTAATTAAGTAGTTTTTATCAGTAATTGCACTTTTTTGAGTAGTTTAAAAATTGTGTACTTTTACTTGAGTACATTTTAAGTGATGTATCGGTACTTTTACTCCGCTATTTTCCTCCGTTTGTGGTCGTTACATGCTTATTTTAATTTCATATTTATCCATCAACGTGATTGGATAGAGAGAAATAGGTCTCGTGACTTTCGTCAAATCAAATTGTGCATAGAAAACTTTAACCGCCAGCTGTTTATCATGGCTGCTGGAAGCGCATTCTTCAAGCATCAGTTCAGTCGCATCTTCCTCTAACTTAATATGTTAAGGTAAATTTCGTATTTCTGCTTACTTTTTGAACAAGTACTTTTACTCTACTCACACTACATTTTTTGGAAGGTAATGGTACTTTTACTTGAGTATATTTTTTCAGTACTCTTTCCACCACTGTAATCTAGTGATGATAAACTTACTCTTTGTAAATGAGTAGTGAAATTAAAAAGAGCTGCTTTAGCTCCATCCCTAATCCTGACAGTCTGGCATTGTCTTGTCAAAGTGCTCCCTCTACATATTGTGCTCACAACACAATTCAGTTTATAATATAAACTACAATATAAGTTCAAACTTAATGCCCCGGTTTCACAAACGGGGCTTAGCTTAAGCCAGGACTAGGGCTCAGTTAAATTAAGATATTTAAGCAACTTTTACAAAAATGTCTTAGAAGAAAACATTACAGGTGTGCATCTTGACACAGAACAATGACACTGACATATGTAGCGTCTGGACCAATCCAACACACTATATATTTTCTTTTTATATTTAACAAATACTCTGTAACCTCAGTTAACAAGCCATACGAGGACCCATGAACCCTTCCCCCCGGAATGCGTAACACCCCAGGAAGTCGAACAGGCCTCTTTGTTGCATGGCAACCAACGCTGATATCACTGGGTTTATTGGCCAAAAGTATGTAAAGCAGGGAAAATCCCTGCATGTCCCAAGGAAAGGCAGAGTAGAAATGGACTGTGTTCTAGTTAATTCATAGGAAAACCGTTATTTGAATGAACACACATATTCTTCAGGCCATTGGGTATATTATTGTCATTGTGTATTTTGTCTTTGATATTCTTAGACTATTTTAGTATGCTTGTGAGGGAACCCATTCCTGATCATCCCTTTTCACTATATGTAATCTTACCTTGTTTAGTATCTATGAATTTGCCTTCGTATGATCGAAACAAGCGTGTATATTATATGCTGATACCTATGCAACATATTGATGTTCTAAGAATCTTTACTAATTTGTGCATTCACACCCAAGCAAATTACATATGCAAAATACCATGCTTAGAGA